AATGAGATGAGTAATACCCCCCAAAAAAAAACCAAAAAAAACCAAACAAACAAAAAAAAAAAAAAACAACAACAAAAAAAACCCCAAAAAAACAAACAAAAAAAAAGTGAGCTGTGCTCAGGGAGGGTCAGGGAGGAAAAGAAGGAAATGTGACCACATCTACAACCACCGTAGCTGCCCCGAGAAGTTTCTTACCTGAAGGTTGATCATGCTTCTGTGAGGAGTAAATCCAGGGTCTAAGTTGCATTAACAGCACAGCTCAGACTCAAAACAAGAAGGAGCTGTCAGATCTCAGGTAGTGCCTGGTCTTCATTTTTCTTTTTAAGTAACAGTCATCTTTTTCTAATGGCTTAATGCCAAAAGTATGCTTGAAGGAGGAATTTCAATGAGGAAAGCTGGCAGTCCTGCCCAGGTTCCATTGATTCAGTGGAATTGGCTGCAGTCCTTGTGGGACAAGTGCTCCCTTAATTTTAGACAAGTCTACTTCAAATATAATTAGGCAGGAGTCTTTTTTCTTTTTCTTTTTTGCCCTACGTGCTGAGTGAGACACATTACTTGTAATCATTATATACTAGTTTATTGATTGTGGCTTTTCAGTATTCACTGTAGAGAGGCTTGTTTTAACAGAACTGTCAAGAGACATGTCTGGTTAACAAACAATTACCAATTGAAGGTATAGAAACAAGCACAGGGATTTTGCCAGGATATACAGAAATGTGCAGGGTATTTTGACAAAAGATGAAAGGGTTTTTCTCTTGAATCTGGTATTTTTTAAGAGATGTTCCTAAAGTCCATTTAATGACATTTTAGTAGTGGTTCAATACATTGTTTTCATCTCTGCTTTCTATATTTCAATATTTGAAAAGATTGAACAAACGGAAATTATTGTCAGGAATATTGCCTATATGGAAAAGCTATGAGAGCCCACACAATGGATCACACTGGCTGATTACTTATAATACAGGTTACCATTAAAATATATTCCAGTTATTAGGAAAGCTGGAAGTGAGTCAATTATTTGAATAAACAAACAAAAGACTTGGTTGCCCTGTAGTTTAGTGCATCCCTGAGATGTCTGTAGGCTCCTTTCCCACGCCTCCTGTCTCATTCCTGAACTAGCAGAGGCTGTTGTGCAAGGCAACCTGGCAGCTCCTAATGAACAGGTAGCTCAATGCACTCCTCAAAGCAATTCCTGCACTGTCCACTTCTGCACATTTTGCTGCAGGCACAGGGCATCGACTGCATCTTGTGTGTATCAGAGGAGGAAAAAGAGGTTTTGTAGCTTAGGGAAAGAGAAGCATCAGCTTATCAGGCCAAAGGAATGTCACTGTGGTCCCTCCAAAGGGGCCCTGCGCTCTGACTGCTTGGACAAGCTGAAATACAGCAGTTTGCTGTGTCAGACATGAGAAGAAGGTGAGGAGACAAAAGAAGGTGCCAGCTTTTTGCTGTCCCCAAAAGACTGGAGAGGGTTTTTTGTGTCTAAAAAATATAAGAAACAGTGATAACTTCAGCAAAAATAAGTAACTCAGCCTCACAACTGGCTGTAGTTTCCAGCCTTGTTAGGAAGCAGTATCCCTACATGCAACTTCTTAGGTAAATTAATGAGGACAAACAGAAAGAATACAGGAAAGAAAAAAATCCCAAACACCCATTGGGACAAAGTATGCATATTTCAATTCCATAAGAGTGAAAGTCTGTATTTTCTAAAACAACTAATGTTTCCTGTTTCCATTAAGGTCTCAGACTGGGCATCCCAAACCATGCAAAGCTGTTGGCCAACAGGTTTATATTTACTCTGGGAGTCAAGGTGAGATTCATGACATTGCTGCTTTTAAAGCTCTTGTTTTAATGTGCTTGGCTTTTGCAAGTTATGACACAGTAAATACATTTGTGTCACTTAGCAACCTCAGTTGTTTCTAAACGAATGTCTTTTGTTCTTGGAAATCTATTAAAAATGCAGATTACAAAACAATTATTGGGGAATCTAAACTTGTCTTATTTTGATGGTGTTCTGACCTCTCTGCATTCTACATTTGAACTATGCACAGGAAAATAATTTACTCTGCACAAGCACCCTTCATTGACATTGCTGTTATGAAGAGAACCTCTGCATATTTAACAAATATTACAGAAGTTTCTGTAGAAAATAAAGGATGTGAGAAACGCCTGGAGAAAGAAAGGACTGGAAAGGACCTCCTACTCACTGGGTTCACCCAGTTCAAAGCTGTCTGACTGTTTTGTAAACAACACTATAAATACTTTAACACTGTGATGCAACACTACGTAGTCTCTATCATGAATTTATCAACCTGATTCATTTCTACACATGCCAAAGTCTGAGATCACAGACCATGCAGCTCCGGCAAAATGGTTTGAAATGTAAACACCTGCATAAATGAACTATTATTTATAATTTTCACCTTGACTGAGTTACATGGTCTCCATAACAGATTACAACATGTGCATGATCCTGAACATGTAGTCAAAGGACTGAGATTACACTGGAATGAAGACTTCAAAGGCTTTAAGGGTTTTCTTTCTTTGTCTTTAACAGGTTTAAAGCTCTGAATTCACATCCAGTTGTCCATGTTGTCAGGATCAGTACAAAAGGTAAAATATATAAATTGACCTTTATATTCTGAAATTAAAATGCATCCTCAGGAAACACAATAAAATTCTGTCAAATTTTTATAGATGGACACATAATTAATATAATTAGTACTTGTTTATAAAACTCAGATTTTGTCCTCTGCTAGGAATATCTGAAAGACAAATATTACTAAAAGTATCTTAAAAACTGTTTTTTAAACATTTGAACAGATAAAGTGAGGGTACAAGTGAATAATAATCATAAAAAGGGACCAATGACTGTTCTCAACTGTAACGTCTTGCTAATAGAATAACTTAGACAACAAGTTGCCATGAGAATTTTGGCAATCCCAGCAGACCATACACAGAAATGCATCTGAAAAAAAAAAAAAAATAAAAGAATAGCATCAATGGTCATTATCAAGGTCATTATCAAATTTCTGCTCAGAAAAATACTGTCAGGGGTCAGAAAAATTTTGTCAACAGTTTTGCAACTCCTTTTATACTTTTATTTTAAAAAGAACCTCCCCCAATCCTTAGTGTTCTATGCTTTGGGGTTTTGGGGATTCTTTTAATTGCAATTACTGAGGTAAACTGCTAAAGTAAAGGCAGTGCTGCAGAGCTCATCTCCAGTGGTAGAAGACCAAGTATGATAACCAGGTTGTGATTCTCCTAATTAAAAAGAGAACACAGTGAGTAAGCTATAGCTTACTCAGGACTTGGCCAAATGACCTGATAGTTACAATGACGAGGCCTCAGCTTCTTTGGGGCTGACCTGGCAGCCAACCCTGTCACTTATGCTCACAAACTCCACACCAGGACACCTATGACAGCCCCTTTATTTGTTGAAGTTGTTCTAATTTCTACAGAGAGCCACAAGCAAACAGCTACCTGTTCATGAACTGCTGCAGCGTTTCTGCCAGGAACATCCCATAATAGCTGCAGACAGTTTAGATCTGCCCCTAGCATGGATTGGGGCTTAGTCCCAGAAAGGTCTCTGGGTGCTGACAGACTGAGATCCATTCCACAAATATGATTATGATGTAAATTCATATTAAGCCCTCTTTGGTACAGTTTTCCCACATAAACAAATCTTTGAGGGAGAGCCGCAGATGTAGGATATACTATCTTCTCCAGCATTTTAGCTTTTCTCTCATCATCCAGTGAAAAAAGAAGATAGTACCTAAGTAATGGCTGAAGTTCCCAATTCCTCTAGGAGGACAATCTGAAACACCCTTCTCCTGAATGTCCACAAATCTCATTTTGTTCAGCTGGTAAGTCTACTAATCCTGATCAGTAGCATTCAGTGTAAACATTTGCAGTGTGTTTAGTCCTAAACCCCTCAGCAGATTCTCAGTCCATTGTCAACCAGTCATCACTAAAACTTCACATTTAAAAAGATCTGAGGACATCAGGATTCTGCTAATGACTGCGCTCTGAGCTCCCTATCTGTGCACTGATCTGCACGATCCTGCACGCTTTTCCCAGCACTGCCGTTGGTTAGGGATGCAATGAAGCACGATTTGCGATTATCATTCCCGGGCTCATGAAAGCCCCAGGTGTAGATGTAATCACAAGCAGCACTGAGCTTTTGCTGGTATAGCTTATTTTGCTTTTGTGGGAGAAGAAAAGGCTGGAATAAGCTGTACTGGTTTATTGCAGTTTTGCTTGTACAGAATACCAGATTACCTACTCAGAAGTGATCTGAATATAGATCTCCCTTGGAGCTGAAGTAGATCCATCCACTGCATCTATGTAGGCCTGCTTCTATTGCTTTTGAATAGATACTGCAAAAATAAGGAATAAAGGTGAAAGTGTTTTCTTAAAAATATTTGGGGGTGGGCAGGGGGCAACAAAATCTCACTTTTTCATCATCTGTAGAAAAAATGTGATCTGAGTTTTAATTGACAGTTACCAAAAAGGTGCTGAAAACAAGAAAGTCTCGGTACCTTAAGTACGCACATGAATAATAATATGCAATTAGGTAACATGATTAATGCCCAGCTGATACAAATCCAGGCAGGGATGTGGTAATGGGCTTGGACACCTAGGCTGGAGTGAGCAGTACCATGTGCAGATAGCAGGCATGCTGACAAACACGTGCGTTCATGCACAGGGTCTCCTGCTCTGTACAGCAGGTGGAAGTAGCTCAGCAGGACATGAGGACAAACGGACCAAAGGACATGGCCTCTCCTTTGCCAACCGCTTACTGATTAATCAAGGGCACAGTGGTGAGAGCAGTTATGTGTACGAGAACTTACACTTTACAAGCAGAACCGACCGCATGCCCTGTCACGTGAATAAGCATGTTCTGGACTATGTCCTCTGAGTTCCAACACCCAGAAAACCTTTTTTAAGGCTCATCATACCCCTGCCTGAATGATGCAGAGACAGAAACAAGGGAAAGAATGGGACTGGGACATGAAGAGATAGGGCAGAGCCTTGATGCAGGTGATGAAGTAAACCGCAGGCAGAGAGAAACCCGACAGAACAGCTGCACAGAGTTGCTTCACGTGTACTAATTCCAGCAATGCAAAGGAAGGCTCCTAAGGCATTTCTGTGTCAAGGAACTAAACCCCAAACCAATGCGGTGCCGGCTGCGGGCACGCAGCGGGCACGCAGTGGGCACAGCAATCAGGGCAAAGACGGCCGCCGAGCGCGAGCCAAGCGGCCGGAGCCGGGCGCTGCGGTACGAACGCGCCGCGCTCCCGGCACGGAACCTTGCGGGAGAGGCGCTGGGCAGTGGGGATTGCCCGCACCGCCGGCGAGGCCGGCGAGGCCGGTGCGAGGCCGGTGCGGGCCGCTCGCGCTCCGCGGGGAAGCGCCAGCTCCGCTTCCAGGCGCGCGTTGCTGCGGGAGAGCCGCACGCGCGCAACCGCCGGGCGCTCACGGGGGCACCGGCGCGCGCCCGCACCGGCGCCCCGCGGGCCGTTAACGGCGGGAGCGGCACCGGCCGCGCGCTCACCGGGCGCCGCTCGCGCTCCCCGCGGCCCCTCGCGCCCCCTCCAACCGATCGTCCCGAGGCGACGGGGCGGCGCAGGACCCTCGGCCGCGCCGCGCGCCCCGCCCCCCCTGCCAATCACAACGGCCCCGCCCCCAAGACCCGAGGTGCGGGGTTTGAAAGCGGGCCGGTCCACGCCGCGCGCAGACGGGGGCACCGCCGGCGAGGCCGGCGAGGCCGGTGCGAGGCCGGTGCGGGCCGCTCGCGCTCCGCGGGGAAGCGCCAGCTCCGCTTCCAGGCGCGCGTTGCTGCGGGAGAGCCGCACGCGCGCAACCGCCGGGCGCTCACGGGGGCACCGGCGCGCGCCCGCACCGGCGCCCCGCGGGCCGTTAACGGCGGGAGCGGGAGCGGCACCGGCCGCGCGCTCACCGGGCGCCGCTCGCGCTCCCCGCGGCCCCTCGCGCCCCCTCCAACCGATCGTCCCGAGGCGACGGGGCGGCGCAGGACCCTCGGCCGCGCCGCGCGCCCCGCCCCCCCTGCCAATCACAACGGCCCCGCCCCCAAGACCCGAGGTGCGGGGTTTGAAAGCGGGCCGGTCCACGCCGCGCGCAGACGGGGGGGGGGAAGGGGACGTGTCAGGCAGCGTCGCGCTCGGTGGTCGCGGGGCGGCCTCGCCCGTCCGGCGGCGGAAGCCGCCCCCGCGCTGTTGGCCGAGCCCTCCCCGCGCGGGGTGCCGGCCCCGGGAGCGGCCGGCGAGCGGTTGGTCCGGAGGGCCGCCCCCCTCCCCCCCTCCTCCGGCCGGCGCAGTGGGAGGCGCCCGGGCGCGCGCGTCACCCATTGTTTACAAACCAACGCCAGCGGGCCGAGCTCCAGCCGCGACCGCAGCGCCGGAGCCGCGTGTGCTCGCGGCCCGGGCGAGCGCTTCCTGCTGCTGGAGCGCCCGGTCGCCGTGGGACAGGCGGGCTCTAAGGAGGTGGACGCGCTGGTGGCCAAGCTGGGCGAGGTGCTGCAGCTGAGCGCGCAGCGGGCGCCGCCGCCGCCCCGCGTCCCCAAGCACCTGGGGCCGGGCAGCGCCCGCGACCGCGCCGCCCCCTACTCGCCGCGGTGCTGCAGCGGGGCCGGGGCCGGGCTGCTGGCGCCGCGGGGACCGGCCCCGCCGCAAGCTCACTCGCAACATGTTGAGCCTCCGCGGCCGGACCGGAGCGGCCAGCAGCGGGTGACCAAGCAGCTGTGCGGACGGGGCTGGCTGCGGAGCGCCGCCCGCCGGAGGAAGCAGCCTCCGCCGGGACCGGGCGACGGGCCGGCGGAGGAGGAGGACCCGCACCGGCTCCTGCAGCAGCTCATCCTTTCCGGCAACCTCATCAAAGAAGCCGTCCGGCGGCTGCAACTGGCGGCGGCGGCGGCGGCAGCAGCGGCATCGGCGGCCTCCAGCGGCAGCGCCTCGGCGGGGAGCGGCGGCGCGGACGGCGAGGCGGCGGCGGCGGTGCAGCCCCTGCAGTAGCCGGCGGGGAGAGCGGCGGCGGTGACCGGGCGAAGGAGCGCGGCCGCTGGCGGCGGCGGAGCCCCCGCCGGGCGGACTGCGGGAGCGCGGTGCGGGCTCCGCCAGGATGTAAGTGTGTCCCGGCGGCGGGGCCCCCGGGCCGGTGCCGGTTCGGGCGGGACGGTGCCCGAGCCCCCCGCCCCAAGGTCACCCGCGGCGCGGACCCCGTGGAGCCGCAGCCGGCGAGGCCGCGCACGCCGCCCGCCCCGAGCTGTTGTTGTGCCCCCTCCCTCCTCTGCCTTCCCGGGAGCTCCTCCTTCTCCTCCCCCCGCCGGGGCAGCCCGGCCGGGGCCGCGGACCCCCCCGCCGCCGGTCCCCCGCTGCCGCGGAGCTGCTCCGTCTCCCAGGAGCCATTTGCAATAATCCTCGCTGACCCCGGCGGGAGGTGTTTCCTTTCCCCTCCCGGGCTGGTTTGGTTTTTTGTTGGGGGTTTATTTGTTGTTATTTTAACGTTTATTGTTATTATTTCTCGTTGTGACTGTATGAAGCAGTTTTAAAAAATGTGAATATCTAAGCTGGAAGGCAGCTGGACTTAATAACAAATGAGTGAATGGAGCCTGAGATGCATTGTTCACATAAGGTAGCCGAAACAAGTTTTTTCTACCAAAAAGAAAAACCCTGAATCCACCCTTCCCCGACAAACTCAATGGCTCAAGTACAAGATGCAGCTGTTGATTTTAAATATATGCACTTCGTACCGGAGCGTTTGAAATGTGTTCCTGATTTACAGGACTTACTGTCTTAATTAACCTGTCTGTATTGAATAAACGTGGTCTTGTTTTTATTTTTGGGTCTGTGTCTCATTGTTAAGAGGAAATGCATTCTGGTTCATGAGAACAAAACTGTAGGCACGTTCCCCCTTGGTCTTCCTTCAGTTGTAAGATCTCCATTTTGCAAGCAAAAAAAAAAAAAAATTCCCCACAACAATCCGCATAGTCTGATGCAGTGGGACACCGGTTATTAATGCACGGAGATGCAACTGAGCCCCTTTGTTTGCCAGCAGCGTTCGTTCGTAAGCCGTGAGACGCCCCTTCGAGCAGCCGAGAATGTGGCTGTTGGAATTTATAAGTCAAACCATACCGAAACAAAAATTAGGTATTTTGTACTGGGGAAGGAACATGGTTTGTGTTGGTCACTTGTTCGGGTTGTTTTGATTTTTATTTTTTTTTTCTTTCTCTGAGGATAGAGGGGGAAAGAAGACTCTAGAAAAGAGAGAAGAGGTCTAGGCAGCAATCAAAATTTTAAAAACGTGTAAACCAGAATTTGGTAATTTGATGCTGGTCATTAAGTTTGAATACCTATTATGAATAGCTTCCTTTGTAAAATCCTGTGTTGGGTTTTTAGGAGTCATTGAGCTTCAAGATGAGAACTGAGCACATCAGACAGACTGGAGCTTAACAATCTCCCAACCCCCACTCAATTTGAGGTAAAAGCTTCTCCTTTGAAGAAGGTAGCAATCCCACATGAAAGAAAATGGAAGATGTTTGCCTTTGTCCAAGAGAGCAATTTGAGCAGCTACGTTTACTTGTGTGATTAGTTCTTCCATGAATACATTAAATCCACAAAATATTTTAGATTTCTTTCTCTGCCACAGCTGCTGCTAGAAACTGATGCTGAAGCATTTTATGATGTCTCACTGCATTAGGACCAGTATGTGATATTATTAGCTTTATCTTGACTAATTTATAAGTTGAATGCAGTTTTTCCATATCAAAGCATGTAAAGTGCAAAAAAAAAAAAAAGTTCAGTGCATTTTAGAACCTCCTTAATTACTAACATCTGAAGTCCTTTTTCTCCTAACTTGGGCTGCTTTCGTGGCGTTTTGCACAACTTGGAAAAGATTCAGATCTGCCATTAGTTCTTACTCTCTAATACAATGATGTACTGTGTAGGTTATCCTTCAAATGAATTTTTATTTGCAATTTTCTTGTTTCTTTCTCCAGGAAAAAATGTTCAATAGCAGTTACAAAGAATATAACCACTAGCCACAATTGAAGAACTAGTTATTCTTGTATTTGTCCTTTAGATGCTCAGGGAAGTAGGTATTTGCTGTGCAGATGCTGAATTTGAACCCTAGGATGAGTAGTTTAATTACTAAAAAAAGCTGGAGGAAACAAGCTAAAAGCTGGGCATAGCTGGTGGAGCCTGAATAGTTAATTATGGTTAAAAATATATGGGTGGGGGTCAGCTGGAATTCTGAAAGCTGGCGAGTTCGACTTGAACTTTTTGCCACTGATAATTATGCATCGATTTTGCGTCTCCTTTCCCTCCCCCCCTTCCTCCTCCCCAAACCCTAGCCCCTGTATACTAATGAGAACAGCTAACTTTACAAGTGTCCTTTGTAGTCACTGAAAGCCTCGAGACATTCCTTTTAAGGATTTTACTAGAATAACACTTTTCAATAAAGTGGCAGTTGAAGTGAGGCGTAGAAAAGATGCTAATAAATTTCACTGTGACTGGCTGGTTTTTAAGCTTCCTAAATTACTTCTAAAATAGCTTTTACTTTCTCCTTTGTGCAAGGCTGGGAGATGTATATATGAGCAGGGTTATAGTAAGCTAAGCGTTACTCAGTGTGTGATGATTCAGTAAAAGGAATTTTGGCCCTTGTTTCAGGTAACTTGCATAACTCACTGACACATCTTTGTCACTTAAATCTTCCATATAAATATTTGTCTTAATCAAAATGCAGAACATGTCACTCCTTCTTAAGGGAACAGATCAAACATGGCTCATTTTGGTTTTGGAAGACACATTTTAAAAGATGTTGGACCAAGTGAAGTATTGCCAGAAGGTTTCCGTTGATTCGTTGCAAATTCTCCTTTTCTTTGCCTTGTGCTACACTATGCAAGCATACAAACTGTGATACGAAAGTCATCATCTGCTTTGTTTCCCAAGCAAGATAAAAAGTGTTGACCTGGGAAATAATATTTTTTCTGGGTTTTATATATCTGTGTTTCAGAGGTGGGGTTTCTTTAGTATATTAAGTGTGTGCCAGGCCTCTCATACCAGTTGTTGGTTTCTAGAGAAACAAAGTGAAAATACATTTGGCCTTTACAGTATGCTTAAACTTTCTTCATTCATGAATGAAAATGTAAGTTTACAGGTTTAAATTTGGAATAAAATTGTGTTTTCATGATAGGCATTTAGCTAGGTTTTATCTCTTTTTTTTTTTTTTTTTCTGTACTGTGGGAAAAAAAATTGTTCAAAACACACAGATGTTGTGGCATTTAGCTAGGTTTTATCTCTTTTTTTTTTTTTTCTGTACTGTGAAAAAAAAAAATTGTTCAAAACACACAGATTTTGCAGTGGATGACATGAACTGTAGAATCAAAAGTAAACAGTTTAGATTTTTGTAACAAGTAACACTTCAATGCATTGGGGAAGAAATTTAATTTTGTTATATCTACGGGGGCTATATGTTTTGAGGGTAAGCGTAATTTTAAATAATGTTGTAAACAAATGCACTGAAGGCTCCCAATGTCATCTTTCAATGTGCCTCTCTGTGGTGTTGTGCTAGCATGGCACTGGGCTGCCACAGATTTTTCATTTGTGGTCTACATTGCTGCTTAACTCCTCCTGAGTTTTCTTTATATGACTGGACAACTGTTTTCCTGACTGCCCAAAACTCAGCTTTGCATCCTAGTTATATCTTGTTGTTTGTACTCCCATGTTCCCTGAGCTCTTAAAAGTACCTCAATTTAGCCAGAAGTCTGGCAGGTAGAATGATTTTTGTCTGCTATTTCCCTCATGTGACCCATATCCCTTGTAGCTCACTACTGTGTATTGTGCCAGCACTTAGAATCTACTGTAAAAATTACATTGGCATGGTACTTGGCATGATAAACATGGTGGGAAAGTAGGAACTCCACCCTAAGTTCTTAAAATTTGGTTTAAAAAAAGCCTTTCAAGCAAATAGCAAGCACATTTCATGGAAGGCAGACGGGAGAAGGAGGATCTGTGCTGGTTAATGCACAATTTAAGTTCTGGTCGGCTGGGGCAAGTCCCAGTGTTGCTGACTTCTCCTCCAGCTCCATATAAAAAACATTTCTCATTCCCTCCTAGTCCCTGGCTCCATGATTTTCATCTCTTCACCCTGCATTCCCTGCCTTAGCCTGGCTATTTTTTTCAGCTTGTGGTTGAAGTATTTCACTTTTGCGTGTCTTTTGTCCATGTCATATTACTCTTCCCAAATATTAAGTAGCTTTGTTCTCTTCAGTTGCTTTTTGGTGGGTGCTTTTTATATGCTTTTTCACTTGACTTTCAAATATTGTCGCTCAGTCATTCTTGGTGGCCACGATCTGCTTAACTCCTTACAAACCTTGCAGTGTGAGTTGGAGGGCAAGTTACAAATGTCCTTCATCTTCAGTTTGTACAGCATAGGGCAGAAATCAGAGGAGAAATCCTAGCTGCAATGAAATGAACAGATGAAGTTAACAGAAAAATTATTAAATTATCTTCAATTTCTATGTGATTTTCCTCTTTTTTTTTTTCTTTTTTTTTTTTTTTTTTTTTTTAAGAAGTAGTTGGGAAATACCACTTAAAGTGGTACAATAACTATATAAACGCTTTAGGGGGACACGAAAATGACATCAGCACACTCATTTCCTGAGTCAATGAGTTTGGTTCACTTTTTCTCTTCCAAAAATTATGTTTCAGCTGTGTGACTAACCTCAGTCACCTTTGTCAAAGCTGCAGACCTGCCATTATGCAATTTCCTTGGCAAAAGGCAGCTGCTGGAGAAGAATTGGTGCCCATAGAGAGGAAGGCTGCAGTGTGCCCGAGCTGCATTAGTAAACACTGTAAACTCCACAGCAGAGGAAGCTACAGGAAATCAGGCACCATAAATTCAGAGGCGTGCAGCATTAGCTGTTCCTTATGCAATATCCTGTATTTAAATTGTATTATTTTTGCTTCCCATTATATAATATGGTGGTGTCTGGTGGAGTAATGCAGCCAGCTAAGGGTGCTCTTCATCACTGCAGGCATTAGGTAGGACATGAGCAATCAAAAGAAATTGTAAAAAACACCACCTCTCTGTCCTGCTTGTAATTACCGACTTGGCAGGACTTCATTCATGAAGAGGTGCAAGGATAGGCTGTAAGCTCCTGAGCTATATGAAGACGTTTAATATGTTCAATTCCAACCCCAAGAACATATTTCATAGCTGCAACAATTTTAAAACTAGGGGCAAAAAAATTCTGCTGGAGCTTTGAGCTTAGAAGCCAGGTGGTAAATTTGAGAATAAATGGACCTGCTTTCATTTTCCTCCCATGTAGGTACTTCAGTCCTCATCCAAGGAACTTCACTGCTCCCTGGCACACTATGGGGCTTGTATCATCAGCTGCCCCTCAGGAGATTATCTCTGATTGATTTTACAGTCCAGGGAAGCTGTAGTCTTCCAGCTCAATGGGATCACTTTCAGGAGCAGTGCTGACTTAAATACATTTTTTGTTTAGTGGTAAGGGGTGAAACAGCACCAGGATAAAAATGTTTTAATTAGAGGAAATGGATCCTGGCTAGCTTAATAGTAAATATTTACTGCTCTAAGCATTTTACCATGAGAGATTGGGGCTTATTCTACCCTCATCACAACAATTGTCCTAGTTTCAAGGCTTAAATCTGCAGAAGCATGGGCTCGCAGTTAAAGTGCAAATTTAGTGTTCTTAAACCTACATTGCAATGCCATTTCTTGTTTACAAGACTAACTTAGTGTTCCAGAGGAAACCACACAGGGCTAAAGCAGGTGACTGAATGCATGCATATACATCCCCAGCTTCTCCTGCA